CAGAGCACGCAAAAGCCCTGGCCAGCCACCACGACTCTGGATGGCAAAGCCCGGGACTATGGAAGTAGCGGGTGACGACTCCCTTCTTCAGTCCCCAAAAGGCTTCAGCCCCAGGGCCAGTGAATCAGGTGGTGTTGACCCCCTTTGGCTCCTGTGTCCTCTACTCTGGCTTGGCCTAGTCCTGGGGACCCCTGCCTCTAGCCACTCCAGCACTCCAACTCACCACGGGAAACTGAAGCCCACCTCCCGTCTCCGCCCACCTGTCCTCCTGTTATGTAGCACAAGCTGGCCAGCATCTCTTTGAACACTTTCTTCCAGATTCGGCCTCGGCTGTTGCCTCCAGGGTGATGATGGTCCTGAATCTCCTTCAGGCTCGGCCTGTAGCTGAGGCCCTCCACAGCGCGGGCCTTCTCACATCCCTGGTGGTGCTCAGCCCTCTGCCACCAACCGGGCCCCAAGGGACACTCTCACTAAACTATCCCTTGAATTACATTCAGAGTGGACAAACTCCTTCCCTTGGCTCTTCATAGTTACGGCCCCCCCAAAAGAGCCTCCGCCATCTCCCCTGCTGAGCTCCTATTGGAGGCTCCCTGCCCAGCTCACCTCCCCTGAGTCTCCACTGCCCCTTCCTCCTCCTCTTTTCTGGAACCTTCTCTGGCAATACAGCAATGCTGTTCTGGCAAAGCCTAGCCCTGCCTCTTCCCCTTCTCCTCCTGTGTCTCCTGGGGACACCTTTATTCCCTCCAACAGCCCCCACCCCCAATCCTATGCAAAATGGGCTGGACCCTATCCCCTGTCCCGTCATTCTTCCACTCCTTCCGGCCCGCCTTGGTGGCATGCCATATTGGGTTCATAAGTCCCATTGAAAACATTTTTCTCCACCCCTTTATACAGTGACCCCCACAGGCCCCCTCCAGCTGCGTTTCTCCCAAGCCGGGACCCCCCCCCCCATCTTCCTTCAATCTCTGAGCACCCCGAGCACACTGCGGGACCCTGAGTGCCTCCTTCCTTTTATCACTTTTCCTCCTCCCACCTCCTGCGGGGCAAACCATGCTAACCAGGCCATCCCCGTCCAAGGTCCAAGGGGCCTTGATCTTCTTAAGGCCCAAAAGGGGAACTTTGTCAGTATCTACAGGAGGAACGCTCGGGTTTTTTGAGTATTTATTGTTTTAGTTGCATTTGGACACAATGCCTTTGTTTTATTTATTTTTCTGTGGTGCTGAGGATTGAAACCAGGTCCTGGACCGCGCTAGGTGAGCGCTCTCCGGCTCAGCCCCAGCCCCAGCCCCCACCCACCAGGAATGCTGTTTTATGTCAATCAATCCTCAATCCGGCATAGTAAAGGACAAGACAAAACAACTCCAACAGGACCTTGAACATCCCTCTGCTGAGGGATGGCAGCTAAGTCACCCCTTCTCCAGCGGGACACTTCCCTTCCTGACCCCTCCCCTGGTCATAGGCCTTCTGTAAATGCTTGTTCCCTGGGTCATTAGATTGGCTCAAGACCAGATCCAAAAAATCTCGAACCAAACTCTAAAACAGCTTTTGTTACAGAAATACCAATCCCTCACCAGAATTTGGGGCACTGGGGACAGCATTCCACTATCACTCAACCTCTGTCATGGTTCCAATGACATCCTGGGCTCCTAAAGAAGGATTCAAAGGCTGCTCCTTCCCAGCAGGGTGCAGTTACACAAGATTGACCTGTGACCCTCATCCCTACGGGGCCCAATTAAAAAAAGGGGGAAGGGAGGATGTGAGGTCCTTGCTTAGCTTCTGGATGGCCATGTTAAGTGACAGTTTCTGAAAGTTTTGCGTTCCCACCCCAGGGTGTTTCTGAGAAAGGCTGGCCACTCCCTTGTACCAACCCAACCCTTCACCACCTGCATTAGGACCTGCCAGCTTTAATCCCTAAGCCTCCCCAGAAAAATATCCCCAACACAAAGCCTGTACTGCCTGTCTGCCTCTGTGGACAGATGGCCTTTATTTATAAACTGTCATGTGTACCTCTGCCTGGTCTCTGTCCTTCACTTCTCACTCCCATTTCCTGCTTTCTCACTTTCCTTTCACTCGGCCCTTTGAATTAATTAATTTATTTATTTTGAGACAGGGCCTCATTAAGTTGCTTAGGGCCTCACTAAATTGCAGAGGCTGGCCTTGAACTCGTGATCCTCCTGCCTCAACCTCCTGAGTTGCTGGGATGACAGGTGTGAGCCATCACCCCTGGGTTCTGTTTCCCTTTTCAATTTTTTTGGACACAATACCTTTGTTCCATTTATTTAATCTTATGTGGTGCCGAGGATCAAACCCAGTGCCTCCCACTTGCTAGGCAAGCGCTCTGCCACTGAGCCCCAACCCCAGCCCCAGCCCCAGACAGGTGGGTGTGTCAGGAAGCTGGGCTCCTCTCCACTGGCTTCCTGGACCTTCTAAAGCTGCCATTGACAGAGCTGAGGTGCTTTTCTCCTCTTAATGTCTAGGACACTCAAAACAGGGCAAGAAATTCACAGCGCTGAACCTAGAAGCACTGGGATTTGTGTAGCGCCACTGAGATCCCACAGGATCCGATCAGGACAAGATAGAGCAGTCGGTGGGGTTTGCTGAGACATGCCCGGCCCTGCAGAAAGGAGGGAAGGGAAGGGGCCCCCACCCCTGATAGGTTATCTTGTTGATATGTCGCCTAGTAGGAGAGATTTTCTCATGAGAACAGGTTACCCGCCCCTGCGAGCCGGGTTGACAACGAGATGACAGATGTGAGTGGTATTAAGGTGAAACTTACTGGTTTTATCTTAAGACCATCAGAGCTGCAGCAATCACCTAAGGAATGTGCATGTTGAGATTGCTGAGCTCGGGGTAACAGGTGGCTCCACCGTAGCCCTGGGGGGTTCCCAGGTTCATGGAGAAAAGGACAGGGACCACAGGGGCAGCGGGTGGGAAGGGGACTCTGTCCAGGAGGGGCTGCTACTTCTGTGCTCCAAGCTCCACTGGAGAGCAGTGTAATGAGATGGGAGGAGGAGGGGAGGAGGGAGAGGAGAGGGAGGGAGAGGGAGGAGAGAGGGGGAGGGGGGAGGGGAGGGGGGAAAGGGAAGAGGGGGAGAAGGCAGAGGGGAGGAGGAGGAGGGGAGGAGGGGGAGGGGAGGAGAGGGGAGAGAGAAAAAAGGATTTTTTTTTCATATATTTGTTATTCGATTGTATTTTTTCTTCTGAGAAGTGTCTTCAGCTCCTTGGCCCATTTATTGATGGGGTTATTTGTTTTCTTGGTGTTAAGGTTTTTGAGTTCTTTGTATATGCTGGAGCTCAGTGCGCTGTCTGTCTGATGTGCTGGTGGTGAAGATCCAGATCCCATTCTGAGGGCTCTCTTTTCAGCTCATTGATTCATTCTTTGCTGAGAAGTTTTTCAGTTTGAACCCATCCCATTGATTGAGTCTTCATTTTATTTCTTGTGCTTTAGGAGTCTTGTTAAGGGAGTTGGAGCCTGATCCGATATCATGAAAATGTGGGCCCACTTTCTCCTTTCTTAGGTGTAGCATCTCTGAATCAATCAACAAATATATGAAAAAATGTTCAACCTTTCTAGAAATTAGAGAAATGCAAATGAAAACTACACTGAGATTTCATCTCCCTCAGACAGAATGGAAATCATCAAGAATAGAAAGAATAATAAATCTTGGCATGGATGTGGGGAAAAGGTTCACTCACACATTGCTGGTGAGACTGAAAATTGGTGCAACCACTCTGGAAAGCAGTATGGAGATTCCTCAGAACACTTGGAATAGAAAAACCATTTGACCCAGTTATCCCACTCCTCAGTTTATACAGTACTACTACTGTTGTGTGCTGATTTTAAGTTTTGGGGGTATAAACTATGAATAATTCACAATAGGCAAGTTATGGACTTAACCTAGGTGGCCTCCAGCAGATGAATGGATAAAGAAAACATGGCACAAATATACAATGGAACGTTACTCTGCCATGAAGGAGAATGAAATTATGGCATTTGCAGGTAAATGGATGGAGTTGGAGAATATCTGCTAAGTGAAGTTAGCCAATTCCCCCCAATCCAAAGGCCAAATGTTTTCTCTGATGAGTGGATGCTGATCCAAAATGCGGGGGGTTGGGGTGATGGGCAGGATGGAGAAACTTGGGATGGGGCAAATGGTGGGTCTGGAGCATGGAGGTAGGAAAGATGGTGGAATGAGACCCTAGGTATATGTGTGAGGACACCAATGGTGTGACTCTTCTTTGTGTACAATCAGAAAAATGAAAAAACTGTGCTCCATACGTGTGCTGTGAACGGAAAGACATTCTGCTGTCGTGTATAACTAATTAGAACAAATAAATCAATTAATTTTTTTTTTTAAGAAGGAGGAGGAGAGGGACAGGGAGAGGAGGAGAATGAGGAAGAGGAGAATGAGGAAGAGGAGGAGGGGGGAAGAAGAGGGGGCAGGACATGAAGGAAGAGATTGGGCAGGAAGAAGATGAGCGTGAAGTAGGAAAGAGGAGGGGACCCAGGTTCTGTCTCAGGGCATTGAAACTGCAGAAGTAGCTGGAGCTCTGGACCCTGCCCAGCCCAGCAAGGAATCCAGCAGATTTGGCAGGGGCTCCAGATGCCCCCAAGTCCATCCAGCCACTCTCTTTCCTCCTCGATTTGCTCAGTTCCCAAGGAATGTTCTGCAGATCGTGTATTTATCACATAAATAATGTAGTATTTATTATCTCTATATACTTAATGTATTAAGTATATCGTGATTAGATGAATATTAAATATTAAATACACCAATACGAATATTAAATATACAAATACGAGTAGATAAACATATCTAATAGACCGTGTACATTACATAAGATATATAAAATCCATTTTACTATAACTACATATATGTTTATATAAAAATATGTGCCTATTTTAATTGCACTGCTGCGATGTGGGTGCCTGGCAAGCGTTTGACCGTTGAGCCTCATCCCCGACTGCTCCTGACTTTTTCTTATGTTTGAAGCAACATCTAGGGAGGAAATCATTAAATAATGATCAAAAGGAAGAAGTGAGGTGTGCAGCCGTGCATGCAAGGAGGATCTTGGAGACCAGCCACCCACTGGCCTCTTCGGGAACAGCCAGCCAACGCCCCCCCTGGGGGTTGAACCGGAGGCCGGGGCTGGAGACCTGTGTATTCTGGAGGCTCCTCTTGCAAGAAAGAACCGGAAACCTGCTGCACACGCGGGAGGGCGGGCAGCGCGCGGGGCCTGGCCGGGTCCGCGGGCTGCGCTGGGTGCGCGGCGCAGGGACAGCCTCCCCGGGGCGCGCGCAGCAGAGAGGACCTCGCAGCCGAGGCGACCCCGCAGCCGAGGTGCCGCAGGATCTGACGTCCCCGGAGCTGAGCTGGGCTCCCCCGAGACCCCTCTGCAGGTAAAGCCGTGTCCGCCGGGTCCCCGCCGCCGCAGGTCGCCCTGCCCCGCAGCCAGCCCCTCTCCCGGCGACTCTGGCAACTCTTCGAAGTTTTTCTGCCGGACTGAGAAGAATCCGCGGGGCCGTTGGGGGCTATTTATTTGGTGGGTTTGAAACTTCGTGCCCGTGGGGCGGGGCAGGGGTGGCCAGGGGCAGCAGGGGCCAGCCGTCTCTGAGGTCCCGTCTCAGGGATGTCCACAGGCTGCCAGGACGTGGCCACCGAGCCCAGGCCTGGCGGGGACCCAGCACTGGGGGAAGAGCAAGGGCGCAGTTGCATTGTCGCGCAGGACACTCAGTGAGCTGAGTGACAGGGAGGGCGCGGGCTGCTTCCCTGCGTCCCCCTTGGGCAGCGGTGAACGTGGTGGCCACCGGCCAGCGTGGAGGGGAGGGCTGCCTCCCAGGGGCTGAGATGCAAACGTGTCCCGGGCAGAAACAGGCCTTTGAGCTGACAGAGTCAAGTCGCGTTATCTTGACTCACTCTCCAGCCAAGGCTTGAGCTTTGTCTCTGGTCTCCAATGCAAGGAGCCCAGAAAACCAACACAGCCAGACTGTCCTCCAGAGGCGTGGGCAGAGGGCCTTGGTATATCTTCCTGCGAGAAAAAGGGGAAAAAAAGCACAAGTGTCTATTTGATAAAGAATAAAACCCGACTTTGTAATGCCTGTCATAGCCACTTGATATAAGAGAAGCTGCATGCAAAACGTGTAGGAATGTAGACTCATAGCTGTGCACTGGAAAGTGGCAGTATCCAATAGGTGTCCGTCAAGGTCATAATAACATTAAAAAGTTCCATTTTTTAACCACACCGTTTGTATTCTAACCAAGCATCCTTACACAAGAATCCAAAGTTTAAAAAAAAAATGCAAGTTTATGAAGTGAAAAAATTACAGTGAACTCGGTTTAATGTATTATTGAAGAAAAAAATTATAAGTGTAGTGTAGTCTAAGGACATAGTGTTTTGTGTGTGTGTTTTTTTTTTGTTTTTGTTTTTGGTTTTGGTTTTGGTTTTTTGGTAGCAGTGATTGAACCCAGGGGGTGCTTAACCACTGAGCCACATCCCCCAGCCCTTTTTATTTATTTATTTATTTATTTTAATATTATTTTTTAAAGGGCTGGGGATGTGGCTCAAGCGGTAGCATGCTTGCCTGGCATGCCTGCGGCCTGGGTTCGATCCTCAGCACCACATACAAAGATGTTGTGTCTGCCGATAACTAAAAATAAATATCAAAAAAACTCTCTCTCTCTCTCTCACTCTCTCTCATATATATATATATATATATATATATATATATATTTTTTTTTTTTTTTGTTGTTGTTGTTGTTGTTGTTTGTTTGTTTTTTTAATTTGTTCTGATTAGTTCTCCATGACAGTAGAATGCACTTGGACACATCCTACATAAATAGAGTACAACTTCTCATTTTTCTGGTTGTACATGGTGTAGAATCACCCTGGTCCTGTGGTCATATAAGCACAGGGTCATAATGTCCCATTCATTCTTCCCACCCCATACCCCTCCCCTCCCTTCACTCCCCTCTGCCTAATCCAAAGTACCTCTATTCTTCCCCAGCCTCCCCTTATTATGAATTAGCATCGACATATCAGAGAAAACATTCAGCCTTTGGTGTTTGGGAAATTGGCCTATTTTACTTAGCATGATAGTCTCCAGCTCCATCCACTAACCAGCAGATGCCATCATTGCATTCTTCTTTAAGACTGAGTAATATTCCTCTGTGTATATAGAGTTACGTTTTCTTTACTATCTCATCAGCTATTATTATTTTTTTTAATGTAGAGACAGGATCTCACTAAGTAACTGAGGGCCTTGATAAGTTGCTGAGGGTGGCCTCCAATTTGCCATCCTCCTGCCTCAGCCTCTCAAGCCTCTGGATTAGAGGCCGGTGCCACTGTACCCGGCATGCCCACAGGATTTGTAAATACTAGAGCTGCCGGCATTTGTTGAACTTTTACATTCATTCAGCACTCATGGACTCAACAGGGGGACTTATCCTGCAAGCTCTGTGCATGGGAACAGCCCCAAACAGCAGCACCTTTCATAAACCTTTTAGTCTATGTTTCACGGGATCTTTTCTTTGCCTAGGCCATGTTTAGATATTACCAGGACATGTCACAGTGTTGCAGTTGCCTACAGTACAGTAGCAGGCTAGGCAAATTTGCAGCCTAGACACTATAGGCTCTGCCACCCAGCCCCAGTGGGGACCGGGTGGTCCAGCCAGGTATCTAGCACAGGCTCCCATAGTTTGGCACAGCAATGAAAAGGCCTTAAGCCACTTCCTGTAAAGGCATCCCCTGGTTTGGTGATGTATGAGTGCCTTGAAATTCATATAAAAATATTTCTATGCCCCCCCACTGCCCCACCTCATGGTAATGATTTCAGTTTGTAACCAAAAATCACAAAGTGTAGCAAACACTGGGTAGGCACCACACCTGTGCTAAAAAAAAAAAAAAAAAACCAAACAAACAAACCACATTTTGCTGCCAATATCCATTGCACCAGCAAAATCATCGGCTTGTATAAACAAGTCAGGCCCCAGGCATCCTCTATGTCCAAGTCCAGAAGGGAGGTATTTTCCATGTAATGGAGGAAGGGTGTCGGGGACTCAATGATTGTGATCGCCCCTGGATCTTTCCTGGACTCAGTGCCCGGGCTGCTGATGCACTTTGGGAAGAGGTATCAAGTGGAAAACTTGGAATCCTCCAACCTCGTAGATCAAAAACGATCGAGTAGGGTGCCTACAGCTCAGGGGTGAAAAAAATTAATAAAATGTATTATGTGTTTCAGGATAGCGAGGAGGGCCAGGTGAGGTGGCTCAGGAGGCTGAGGCAGGAGGATTGCAAGTTGGAGGCCAGCCTTGGCGACTTAGACCTTGTTTCAAAATAAAATAAAGAGGGCTGGGAGTAGAGCTCAGTGTTAGAGCACTTGCCTAGCATGAGTGAGTGCCTGAGAATTCATCTCCAGCACAACAATAAAGAATAAACACACAAAAAATAATTAATTAGAAGAGACTTTCTTTTTCTTTCTTTCTTTTCTTTTCTTTTTTTTCTTTTTTTTGGTACCAGGGGTGCTTAACCACTGAGCCACATCGCCAGCCCTATTTATTTTTTATTTGGAGACAGGGTCTTTCTGGTTGCTTAGGTCCTTGCTAAGTTGCTGAGGCTGGCCTCCAACTTGCAGTCCTCCTGCCTCAGCCTCCTAAATTGCTGGGATTACAGGCATGTGCCACCATGCCTGGCTAGAAGAGAGGATTTTGAGTGTGCCCCAAACAAAGAAATCATAAACAGTTACAGCTGCTGAAGGAGACGGCTCATTACTCCACTGTGATCTTCCTCATCACAGTCTCCTACTGAATTAGCACCTAGTACCCACATTGCTGTGTGCCAATTAAAACATGGTTGTGTGTGGTCGGCTTTGTAGGGTCCAGCTCCCCAGAGGAATTTGCAACAATGTTAAAGGTTGAATTTGTAAAGTATCCAGCGCCTTCCTGGTCTTTCTGAACATCTTTAAAATCCACATTGTCAGGCTGGGATTCTGGCTCAGCGATGGAGCGCTCGACTAGCTAAGGCGGGACCCGGGTTCGATTCTCAACACCACATAAAAATAAAGGCATTATGTTGTGTCCATCTGCACCTAAAAATATTTTTAAAAATCCACATTGTCTGCATATGCTGGTGTTCTTGGCAGAAAGGCCTCTTGTAATAGCAAAGGCAGTAGTTTAGAAACTTCAGCCTGGCTGGGTGCGGTGCCCATGCCTGTCATCCCAGCAGCTCAGGAGGCTGAGGCAGGAGGATTGTGATTGGAGACCAGCCTCAGCCAAAGCGAGGCCCTAAGCAATTCAGGGAGACCCTGTCTCTAAATAAGATACAAAATAGGGCTGGGGATGGGGCTCAGGGGTCCAGTGCCCCTGAGTACCTCTAGTACCCAATGATGGCTTTGAGACTTTGAGGTCCCCATGGTGGGATATCAATGCCAACCTAGCTCCCTCCGTCTGTCCAGGTTCTCATCTCCACTGGACATGGAAGACCAAGTGTGACGTGGCTAAGTCGCAGCTCAAAGCATCTTATACACATTCTGCCTTCACTCTTGCTTCCTTGGGGAGGGAAACTCTGGTCACTTGATTAAGGAGCTCAGGGGGGAAACACAGGGGTCCAACCATTTTGTGCTTGTTCTTGAACCTTCTGTGTTGACTCTACCTCCCTGCCCAGGCCCCTTCTCTGTCCCCAGTCAAATGCCCAGTGAGCAGGAAACTCAAGATCATTTGGTAGACAATTCAGTCTCCTAAGAGGTTAGCAGCTCTTCAAATCTCCATGGACAAACCACACTCCCCGCAGCACCTCTGTCTCCAAAATTAAGCTCCTGCAATGCCTGCAGCTCCTCCTCCCCAAATTCACAGGAGGAGCATACTCCAGGTGCAGGGGAAAGAAGCCGGGAACAGCCCCTGCCCCCCCACCCCCACCCCAGGCACAAACCATTCTGAGCCAGTGAGACTTCCAGAAGCTTCCAACAGCTTGGTGTTAGTTGTTCTCTTTGTGCTTAATTGTGCACTATGTTTTTTTTCCCCAAAAAAATCACAGTTTCCCAGACTTTGGCAGACTGCCAACCTGCATGAGAAAAACAAAACCGAGCCTCTTACAATTCTCAGTGTGTCTGCTTCTCTCTGGTGCAGGGTTTTCAGTTGATTCCTGGGGCTGGGGGTGGAGCGCAGTGGCGAGTGCTTGCCTAGCATGCAGGGGATCCTGGGTTCTGTCCCCAGCACTGCAAAAAAAAAAATAATGCATTTCCTTAGTAACACAGAAATCAGTACACCATCAAGAATAACTATTGCATTTCTGGTGAAAATCTTGCAGTTCAGAGAAAAGACCCCAAGCCTTATAACTTTATAACCTATCTACATTAACTTTCTTTTTTTTTTTTGTACCAGGAATTAAACTCAGGGGCCCTCGACCACAGAACCCCAACCCCAGTCCTCTTTCATATTTTATTTACAGATAGGGTCTCACTGAGTTGCTGAGCGCCTCACTTTGGCGGAGGCTGGCTTTGAATTCACGATCCTCCTGCCTCAGCCTCCAGAGCTGCTGGGATGACAGGTGTGCACCACCGCACCTGGCTCATACCTGTGTTTTCTAAATAATAGATCCTAGGCGACACCTGGGACATCTTCTTCTACAGATAAAATATCATTGGAGGTGGTACAATTCAGTCTTTTTAAGACATCTTTTCCTTTATCAAAGTAGCTGAGGACTTTTTAATTTAACCTTTTACTACTAGAACTATTTCTATTTGTTTCATTTAACCTGTGAGGGGTTATCAGAGACATGTTCATTTCCTCTCCCTCCCTCCTTCTTTCATTAAATTTGTGTATTTAATAAAATGGTGGGGTGCACACCTGCAATCCCAGCAACTCTGGAGGCTGAGGCAGGAGGATCAAAAATTTGAAGCCGACCTCAGCAACTTGGTGAGGCCCAAAGCATCTCATCAAGATCTTGTCTCAAAATAAAAAAAATGAAAAGGGCTGGGGATGTGCCTCAGTGGTTAAGCACCCCTGGATTTAATCCCCAGTACTATAAAGAAAAGATGCACATGCACTATACCAACACATTCCAACTGGAAATTTCCAACAGCATTTTTTTGTGTGTGCAATAAATAGTGTGGCAATACTTATTTCACACTGCCATAATAATGCCTTTCTGTTGAAGATCTTGCTGTCCAGAAAAAAGACCCCAAATCTCACTCCTCACTCCCCCACAGATACATCTCCTCACAGCCTGCTTGGTTTTCTGGTGGTCTTGGCATCTAACCTAAAGCCACACACAGTGTGCTGCTTCTGGGCTTCCTTAATAACTTCATGTATAATTAGCATTCTTCTTTGTTCCTAATGTCCATTGTCTTTTGCAGGAATCTGCTTTTGTCCCCTGAATGCGCACACTAGTTGAGCATCCCTCATACCAACTTCAGCATGGGCAGGACTTCGGCCAAAGGCAATTCCCCACCAGACCTCAAGGCAATGCAGACCCCAAGTAGTCCAACACTTACCATGGGGCTGGGTACATGGCGTGCATGAGACAAATGATCTCATGTTTAGACTTGGGTCCCCAAGATGTCTTCAAATGCACATACTCCAAAATTAAAAAAAAAAAAAATCTGCAATCTGAGCCAGTTCCGGTCCCAAGCCTTTTGGACAAGGGATGCTCACCCTGTAGCTCTTTGGCATTCAGGTGAGGGGAATTGAAAGAGTCCCCCCTCAATCTGCTTCCTCTCCCCTCCCAGGTCTGTGGACCTGCTGGCCACAGGGCTTTGAAAGTCGTCTCTCCTAAACTCCCACCGGCTGGTGTGACCTTGGTGGATTCTCTCCTGGCTCATTTCTGAGCTCCGGGTCCCTCCTTGCTCTGACTGGCCCCTACATTGCTGCAAATTTGATCTTTTTTAAAAAGGGCATTTGTCCAGATCACACCATTGCCCATGCAGAGGTAAACATCCAGATGTCACCCCGCTCAGCATGTCACCTCGCTCAGCACATCACCCTGCTTCCTCCCCATGTCCCAAAGCCCAGAGCCCACAAGTCAACACCAAGCTCTTTCCCTGTGGCAGACAAGACCAGCTCTGCTGTCCCCACTGCCTGTGAGACACCCAATGCTCTGAGATAATGGGTCCCTCGTGCACCTGTGCACAATTTACGAGAAATGGAGAGGAAGCTTCAGACAGGGAGACAGGACTTGGAAGCAGAGCTCCTGGGTCAGGTGCTCTGGTCTGTCAGCTCCAGGCCCCTTGGGGACAGTCAAAAACCCTCATCCCTGTGTGCTGGGAAATGTGTTGACAAAACGCTCAGAGACTGGTGTCCAGAGAACATCTGGTCTCTGGCCAACGATTGCACCATGATCAGGGAGGAAAGCTCAGGATTTCAGAGCGTTGCACACCCAAGGGGCACACTGTCTTGTCAGGACCCACCTGGTTTGTGGGATACGTGTCCCTCTGCATTGCACAGATACTAGGTCTCATAAAAGCATAGTATGGCTCACAGGTGTAAGCCCTCCTGTCCTGCAGCAGGCGGGTGGATAAGCAAACAGAGAACAGAAGAATGAAGAGAACTGCAAACTCGCTCTTCCAGCACTGCCAGGGCTCAGTGAGCAAGCCCAGCTCTCTCTCTCTCTTGCTCAGCAAGGTTTTGCTGACAGGAGAGTCCATTCATTCTTGAATTTTCTACTCCCACATTCTCCCTACAATAGGCAAATGGGCTGGTTGCAACAGGAACTATCTGCATTGCAAAGCCCCAAATGCTCCTTCTCTGGACCCACACAGATACTTCTTGCTAATGAGGATCGAACCCAGGAGTGCTTCACCACTGAGCCACATCCTCAGCCCTTTGTATTTTACTTTTTAAATCTTCCGACAGGGTCTCGCTAACTTGCTTAGGATCTTACTAAGTGGCCGAGGCTGGCCTCTGACTTCGTATCCTCCAGCCTCAGCCTCCTACATTGCAGAGATGACAGCCATTCACCACCATGTCGGGCTTGTCCACTTCTTTGATAGAGCGTGCCAGTGTGTCTAGACCCCGTGCTTGAGCATCGCCTCATGAGAGTTTGCCATGGTTTTAAGGTTCTTCTGGAGCTGATATCCTGAGAGCCAAGCTTCTCCACGTACCTCCATCCCGATCTTTCACCTCTAGGAAGGATGTGCTTCCTGCTGTCCAGTTCTTCTCTAACCCTTCGTTTCTCTACAGGAAACACGACAGGAGCGAGACCATGCGGCGGATGGGATATTCATGGTAAGACAGGATGCTGTGGTCCCCGGGCCCGCGCCTGCGTTTCCTCCTGGCTCTCCCCAAATCCACAGATAAGCAAGGGGCCTCTGCTCAGTGAGGAACCCAGGAGACCTTGGAGCCCCGGGCATGGAGATCAGGATCAGTCTGAGGGCTCCAAGCCCCCGTACCTTGGGAGAGTTCCAGTCAGCCTCAGGAGAGACTAGACCCAAACCTGGTGGGAAGCGCCAAGGGCATCCGATGGCCAGGCGCCTGGCTCTCCGCAGCCCCTATGGCAAACCTCCTTGGAGACTCAGGGTGATCTCTGCTGTGCCACACTACGGAGGGGACCTGTTGCTTTACTATCTCTCTGAACTGGGACCTCCATCATTCCAAAGCCCACCTGCGCATCACGGTATCGTGGGATAAAAGATTCAGGGTTTTCCTCTTCTTCCTGGCTTCACGTTACCAGCTTCCCCATGTGATGCCAGATTCCTGGGACCCCATAGACCTCCAGGAGCCGAATCCAATGCAACCACTTAAGAGTCTTTACTGCAAGCTCGAGCCTGGACTCACAACCGTTTCCCTATGCAGTGGTCCCAGGGAGTGATCCCCGTCCTTTGTCCAGTGAGATTTTATAGGTTTTTGGGGGGATACTCTGTCACAACTTCACAGCAAATCATTCCACACCGCAGGAAAAGCAAACAACAACTCTTAACATTGATTAGCACATTCACTGTTGGGAACAAGTTGGGTAGGGGTGATAGGTTACTACAAGAGGGGGATTCCTTTGAACTGATTGGTTTAAGCCAAGAGGGTTGTTCATGCTGAACTACATGGTTTCCCAACATGTTATCAACCACCATAAACTACTGGGGGGTCATCTGGCATCCCAGGTATTTCCCTGTCTTACACTGATTGGTGGTTGCTAGGGGGTTGCTATGGGTTCTCACCTAGCCTGACTGAGTCAGGGACACCTGGCAACACAGATCTCTCCTGTTATTTGCAGACAAACAACTCAGCAGGGTGGGTATGTGCTTAGGAGTGCTCTGTGGGTTTTTCGAAGGACAAGGGTCCTGCCCCCTTCCCTGGATGGGCTTTGAGGTAGAAGCTGGTTTCTCAAAAATGGAGTCACATCAGTTTCTCACTCCCCTCTTTGTCTGGAAACTTGCCTCAGTTGGGGGTCTATATAGGGTCTATATGGGCAGGCCCTACATCTTCTTCGGGGTCGAGGGCTTGATAGTGGGTGTACGGAACCATCATCTGAACTGTGTTTACCCTGTCCTTGATGAAAGCCACTAGCTTATTCACAAGTGGTCCTACTAAGGTTGACACTGGGGTAATTTTCGAGTAAACAGTAACCCTCAGGGGACAGTCTTCAACTGCCCAGACTCACTCAAAATTGGCCTCCTGACTCGATTTACCTATCTACTCTATCTATTTCTGGCTTCACCGGGACTGGCGACTGCCCAGAGCTTGTGTCTACTCAGTGTTCCAACTTGTAGCAAGGTACCCCCAACACACAAGTCCAAGACGGTTTTGCCATTTAAGAAAGAAGAACAAGAGTCAGGCGTGGTGGCACACACCTGTCATCCCAGTGGCTGAGGAGGCTGAGGCAGGAGGATCTTGAGTTCAAAGCCAGCCTCAGACAAAGACAGGCCCTAAGCAACTCAGGGAGACCCTGTCTCTAAATAAAATACAAAATAGGGCTGGGGACCGGGACTCATTGGTTGAGGGACCCTGAGTTCAATCCCCGGTAACATCCCTCTCCCCCCACCCCCAGAGAGAGAGAGAGAGAGAGAGAGAGAGAGAGAGAGAGAGAGAGAGAAGGAAGAGGAAGAAAAGCCAGTTGGAGAAGGGGAGGGTGCAGTAGCTGGTCTTGAAAGCAGATCCATACATTTTAAGGAAGCTTAAATAAGGCTTTTTAAGTTGCTATTGCCATAACCATTCAACAACACTCTGGAGCCTCCGAAATTACTTTGAAAGTCCAAATAAGACCATCAAGTGCATGAGCAATTTTAAATGAATAAAAAAAACATCAAAGGCCTGGGGCATAGGTTCAAAGCTAAACCCTAAGCCCATCAATCCCTTAAACACTGACGCCGTGTCCCCCTGCAAATGCCTGACTGATGGCGCCTGCTACAGGGCTGAGCATGCTTGTGTAGCCTGTGTTTCAGGAGCTGTCTGGCCGTGGCCCTGGGTCTGTGGCTGGGAGGGACGCCATCCACCTGCAGGGATACGGCTGACTCGAGGCCCAACATCCTACTGATGATGGCGGATGACCTTGGCATTGGAGACCTCGGCTGCTATGGCAACAAGACCCTAAGGCAAGGAATGGGAAATGGGTTCTTGGGGACCAGAGGAAAGAGCAGGTCCTAGATCTGGTGATTCCTATAGGAATAGAGGGTCCTGCAGCCCCCAAATCTGGAGGCAGGGTCATCCAAGAGCAGGTGACCGCTCCTCCTCAGGGTGGGCTCAGTTCTCCTGTTGCTTCCTGGTGGTGGAGGGCACCCCGGAGAGACAGAGCTGGCATTATAGCAATTACCCCCCACTCTGAGCATCTGTTAACCCACCCTGAGGGCACAACCCCCAGGACCCAGTCACCATCCAGAGGTCTTGCTCTCAAGTACCACGGATGTGGTTTTGGGGGTGACGTTTCCCACACAGGTAATTTGAGGATGCATTCAACCCTAGGAGTGGCCAACGGGGACATTCACAGAAGCCTGCACATGCAAACATAAATCCAGCTCCAATCCACCCAGCAGACGATCTACTCCTTGGATTGAAAATAGGATTCTTACCCACCCACTACAGATGGAGGGTGTCTTGGAAATCAGTTTTATTGCTTGTGAGCCCAAAGCCATGCTGAACTGCCCCTCACTCCCAGCCCCTCTTCCGTCCAGCCAAGCTCCCCCACTCGGAACCGATTTCAATTCTTCTAATGTCCCCTGAGACCCAGCATGGAGCTGAATCTGCGGGCCCTGCTGGGTGTGCCTGGCCCGGTACCCTCACGGGTGTCCGTGACCTTGGACCTGCCCATGTAGTCCCTGACCGCCCAGTGAGAAGCAGCCTCCCGCTTCTGAACTGCCCATCTGTCTGTCTGTCAGGACTAGCAGCGCCTGGTGGACACGGGGTCCACCATAATTCATCAAGATGCTGTTTCTTTGAAGGTCCTGAGGACATTTAAGGTTCTGGATCATTCTTGAGCACATCTTGATGCACTCACTGATGACCGGCAGCTTACCCTACGCTAATGAAAATCCAGGTTTCTTAGGAGAACACAGCAGAACACAGCACTCTTAGTTTTTTCTCTCGGCAGGACTCCAAACATCGACCGGCTTGCAGAAGACGGGGTGGTCCTGACCCAGCACATCGCCGCGGCGTCTGTGTGCACCCCGAGCAGGGCTGCTTTCCTGACGGGCAGATACCCCATTCGCTCAGGTCAGTCCTACTGTGAAACCCACCTGGGGAGGAACAGGAGCATGTCCACCCGCAGCCTTCTCTCATTGACACCCAGATGGGGAAAGATGGGTCCCAGCCCACAGAGTTCTGCCATGACACTGCAGCCAGCCCTGGTGCTCTAGCCCCTCAGGGAACAAGGTGACCCAGGCTGGGATTTAACTGTATGAACATAACATTTTCTGTAGCAGGCAAGGTAGCGAATATTTTCATTTTTGCAAGGCACACAGTCTTGGGTACAGCTGCTCAACGGCATTTTTGAAGTCCTCTATGGGCAGTGCACTCAAAAATGGTTGTGGCCATGTCCTAATAAAACTTTATCCATATGTATTGCATTTTGTGCCCCAAAAGTTCATGTGTGAAGCAATGCAAGACACTTCAGAGGTGACATGGTTAGAGGAGGAGAGGTGTGATCTGATCAGTGGATTAATCCACTTGAAAGGATTAAGTGGGTGGTGACTGTAGCAGGTGGGGTGTGGCTGGAGGAGGGGTCCCTGGGCTGTGCCTTTGGGGTCTCTGTCCTGTCCCTGGTGAGCAGAGCTCTCTCTGCTCCCTGGTGCCCTGTCCTGAGCTGCTCTCCTCCTCCAGGCCCTGCCACCATTTTGTTCTGCTCCCCTTGGGCCAGAGCCATGGAGTTGGCCCACCATGGACTGAACCTCGGACACCATGAACCAAATTCAACTTTTCCTCCTCTAAATTTGTTCTTGTCAGGTCTTTTTTTTTTTTTTTCTTCTCTCCCACAGTAGTGAAAAGAACCAAGTGAAACAACAGGTTATGAAATCTTCTCTACTTTTTCCCAATTATCTGCAAAGGCCCTGGATGAGTCAGCTTTGTGACAGAAATAAGCTCATTGAGATCCAAATGTCTCTGTTGGGCTCAAGGTGTGGAAGGGCTCTCCTCCTGGTCCTTGGCTCCTCGGCTGTGGTCCTGTGGTGAGCCAGCACATGGTCACAGGAGAACATGGAGGATCCTTGAAGCAGAAGGAGGGGTGGAGCTCCACTCTCCCCTTCCAGGCCACGCCTCCATGACCTCACTTCCACCCAGTAGACTCCACCTCTTAAAGGCTCCCTAACGTCCTAATAGACCATCAGCTGGGAACCAGGCCTTTCACCCACAGCTTATTGGGGGGACACACCAAATCCAAACCACAGCAGCACCAATCCATTTCTCACTGGCTGGGAGTACAAAAGTAGGCAGGAGGCCATTTGCTGACCCTCCTGTCACAGACGTCAGGTATACATTAGGCAATGTGCAAAAAAAAAAAAAAAAAAAAGAACTAAACAAATATGTTTAATGAGAGCAAAACTATGAATGTTTCTGAAACTCGTTTGTAAATTTTTGCCCTCTTAATGGAAAGAGAATGATCTTTGTTTTCTGTGGTCCGTGGGGGGATGTCCTTTGGCAAGATATTTTTCTCTTTCCAAGGCAGGGATTTCTCAATCATCTCAGGGGCCCTTCATGTCTTATAGATTATTTTTGGGCATGATATATATGTTATTGTTTAGCTTAAAATCTGCCATTTGCAAGGGAGTTGGGTAGGAAGTAGATCAAAAATTCAGAACTCTGTGTATTGTCCTCACCATTTCTCTGCTCTTGGACCCTGAGGCTGAAGAATCTGCCCCAGACTCCAGGGGACACTCACACCCAGGACTAGTTAAGGATTTCCCAGGAAAAAGAAGCAACTGGATCTATCATCTGTATCATGTCCCCATTCGTCACCTGTCTCTGCATCCATCCGTCCATCTCTCTCTGGGCTGCAGTATTAAGCATGCATTCAACATATATCTTTATTTTTTGCATTCGGATGCTTTGATATCATGGCCCTCACTGGCCCTCGGGGAGCTGACCTCTGGGTGCTGGCCGGTTCCTAGAGACAACAGCAATGTGCATGTGAGCTTGTTCTCCATGTGGAACCTTCAGATCCTCTGCCCATGTCCTCTGGGTGAATATCCCCTGCTCCCCTCACCCCAGGTTCTGCAACCAGGAAATTGGGGCAGTGAGCAGCCCCTGTAGCCCAGAGCAGACCAAAATTATTAACGCTGTCAGATTTGAAAACATCTTGCTCTGCCTTACTTGTTTCTTTCCATTTAAAATAAAAATTTTAAAATGGAGGCATCTCCCTAAATTTCTTTCTCACTCTTCTGGCTACCCCAGTGCCTCCCTGACGGAACCCCATGCCTGGCATATTCCCTCTTCTCGCAAATGGTCGCAAACTCTACTTTCAGTGGTACTCATCCCCTGATCTGGTGACCCTGCTACACCTAAATAGCAAGAAAACCTTCCTTTTCCTCTGCATAGCTGGGTAGGGTGGTGCACTCCTGAAATTCCAGCAATTCCGGAGGCTGAGGCAGGAGGACTGCAAATTTGAGGTCAGCCTCAGCAATTTAGCAAAACACTCAAAATAAAAAAGGGTTAGGACTGTGGCTCATGGTAGAGCAACCGTGGGTGCAATACCCAGCACCCCCCCACACACACACACCTGTGTTGAAGTCAAGAGCTCAATGGTTTGCCAGTATATTAGAACTATCCAGGAAATCGTCATTTGTTTATTTACTTATTTTTGATACCAGGGATTGAACCCAGGGTCATTTAACCACTGAGCCGCATTCCCAACCCTTTCTATTTTTTTATTTTGAGACAGGGTCTCGCTAAGTTTCTTAGTTCCTCGCTAAGTGGCTGAGGCTGGCCTCCAACTTGCTATCCTCCTGCCTCAGCCTCCCAAGCCACTGGGATTACATGTGGGCACTACCATACTTGACGCAATGAATCTTTCAATCATTCCAAAATCCACACCAGGCCAACTCCCTCTGCACTCTCTGGAGTGATAACCATCCGTTAGCGTACCCAGAAGCTCTGCACATCATTTCATAGATAACTGTGAAAACTCTTTGGTGATAGCAAGAATTTGGAGAAATCAAAAATGCATTTTAAATTCTCATCCCTTTTCCATTAAATTCTTTTTCTTTTTTCCTTTTAGTGACCTAACTTGCACAAGACCAGACACCTTCTCTCCAGCATTGACATTTCATTATGACCTTCCCTGCCAAATATGTAGTTCTGTGAGGCAGGTCTTTGCAGGAAGGAACTTTTCAATGTAATTTTCAATAATGGAGAGTTCTACAGAACATTCTAAATTTAAAAGCGTGGACATCATCATCATCAACTAAAAGCAAATACATAATAGTAACTTATTTCTTTTTGTTGGCTGGTCGAAGGCATGGTTTCCAGCAATGCTTTCCGTGTTCTCCAGTGGACAGCAGCATCCGGGGGCCTGCCCACCAATGAGATAACTTTTGCAAAAATATTGAGAGACCAAGGCTACGCCACCGGACTAATAGGTAGGTACCTTTCTTTCAACTCTGGAGCTCACTACTTTTCTTTTAAGGGTCTATTGAGCTCCAAATGTTTGGAAAGGCAACCAGTGAGGTCCCAGGTAATTTCCCAGATGACAGAGATGATGTGGTCTCCCAGGATGCACAGGGACCACAAGTTATTCAACAAATGTCAACTGGTCAGGTGTGGTGGCACACACCTATAATCAGCAACTTGGGAGGCTGAGGCAGGAGGATTGCATATTGGAGGCTAGCCTCAGCAACTTAGCAAGACCCTGTCTCAAAATTTAAAAAATATATATAATATAAAAAGGGATGGGGAGGTAGCACAGTAATAGAGCACCCCTGGATTCAATCCCTGGTACAAAATTAAGAGTCAACACATTCAAAAATAATAGTCATATGGCCAGGCATGGTGTAGTTCCAGCTACTCCAGAGGCAGAGGCAGGAGGATCATTTGAGGCCAGAAGTTGGAGGCCATCCTAGGGAACATACCGAGACTCCCATCACACACACAGAAAAATAAATATCAAAACAACATAAACTAGATGCTAGACCAAATGTTTGTGTATAACTTACCTCGCTCTGTGCTTCCACAATAAACATGTGTTTTTCTATATGCCAAGAAACCACATTAGATATTGAACAAAAAGTAAGTAAATGAAACTTCAAGACAACAGACAGGGAGAAGGGAAAGGGGACCACAATGTCATGATCCTCACTTGTAGTGATAATTTTTTTTTTTTTTTGGTAGCATGGATTGAACCCAGGGACACTCAACCACTGAGCCTCATCCCCAGCTGTATTTTGTATTTTATTTAGAGACAGGGTCTCACTCAGTTGCTTAGGGCCTCACTTTTGCTAAGGCTGGCTTTGAACTCACAATCCTCCTGCCTCAGCCTCCCAAGCTGCTGGGATTATTGGCGTGCGCCATGGTGCCCAACTCTGTAGTAATAATTTTTATCTGCAATTACATCAGTTGATCATGGAGGACATGTCTAGCTGGTATGTGGGACAGAAAATCAATAGACCATTATGTCTTAAGGTAGACTGGTCTATCAATGCCTGGGAAATCTCATGGAGTTTCCGAATGTCAAATACCCCATGGCACAAGAAGACACGCAATGTGGTTTTTATCAATAACCTCACAGTGGCTGCATAGAAGACAAAAATCTTTCTTTACTGGAGTTGAAAGTTGAGCTCTGAAACAGTCTCCCACTTTGAACTTGGCCTCTATTATGGGCCTCCCACTCCCAAAGCCCAGAACTCTTTGTTCTACGTTCATTCTGGAAGATTGAGCTTTCAGAAACAGCCTGATCACTGTGAATACATCCTTCTTTTGTTATAGAGCACCGTGACCAGCTGAAGACTGAACAAGGTTCCCAAGGATATCAGGAGCTAAATGCTACATGAACCCCTAGATACCCAAATGTTTGGAGGTTCCACTCCTTTATATAACATGGTACAGTGTTGGCATAGAGCATGGACACATCCCCCATAGACTTTAAATCACCTTCATAGGACTTAAAATACCCAAAACAATGTCGATGCTGCCCGAATCGTTGCTACGCTCTATTGTTTGTTGAGTACCAAGGAAAACAATTTGCCTGTGCTCAGAGAAGATGCAAATTTCCCCCCTAACATTTTCTATCCATGATTGATGGACAGCAGGAATGCCAACAGACAATCAAGGGCTGCCTGTGGGACCTTATGTGGAAGCACAGCCTGTAGAGGACCTTGAGTGGATTGTCCAGATGTGACAGAGAACCATCCCCGGATGTTTTAAGCAAGCAGATTTATGGCAATCTGTCACACCTCTCACGAGAAATTAATACTCAGGGAAACGCTTCCTCTCGGGGCCCTTTTTCCCACAAGGATAAGGTCAGGTGGTGTTGTCATTGATGTCACAGCCTACACTCCCCCAGCTCCTGGGAGAGAGCTCGAGTAGAGCAAGCATGCTGTCGTAGCCACCTTTCTGTGCAAAATATGCAGGAAACAACAATTTAAAGAAAGAAAGGTTTATTTGAGGCTCATGTTTTCCAAGGTTCAGTCCCTGGTGGCCGACTCCATGGCTCTGGCCCAAGGGGAGGCAGAACAAAATGGCGGCAGGGCCTGGAGGAGGAGAGCAGCTCAGGACAGGGCACCAGGGAGCAGAGAGAGCTCTGCTCACCAGGGACAGGACAGAGACCCCAAAGGCACAGCCCAGGGACCCCCTCCTCCAGCCACACCCCACCTGCTGCAGTCTGCACCCAGTGAGTCCATCCAAGTGGATTAATCCACTGAGCAGGTTACACCTCTCCTATCCCAAACATCTCACCTCTGAAGGTTCTTGTAGTGTCTCACACATGAGCTTTTAGAAGAATAGAAGTCTACTTGGGGGCTCAGGATTTCAGAGGTTCAGTCCATAGTGGCCGACTCCATGGCTCTGGCCCAAGGGGAGCAGAACAAAATGGCGGCAGGGCCTGGAGGAGGAGAGCAGCTCAGGACAGGGCACCAGGGAGCAGAGAGGCATAGAGAGAGGGAGAGAGAGAGAGGAGCCAAGGACAAGATAGAGTCCCCAAGGACGTGTGTCCAGTGTCCTACTTCCTCCAACTGTGCCCCACATCTCCGTGGCTCTGGGTTGGGGTGAGGCAGAACATCATGGCCGAAGGGCATGGTATAGGAAGGCAGCTCAGTTCACGGCAGATGGAAAGCCGAGGGAAAGAAAGAAAGGGGCCAGGGACATGGTGTGTGCTTCCAACCAACTTCCTCCGATCACCGTCTCCTAGAGCCCCCCCCCAGGGTCTATGTGACTGTCTTGTATCTTTCAATGGATGAATCCATCCATGAGGCCAGAGCTGACCTAAACCAACTCCGTCCCTAAACCTCACCCGTGACGTTGCTGCATTGGGGTCTAAGGCTGCAGTGCAGGAAGATCTGGGGCCACACGGCAGACCCAAAGCATAATATATGTGATACCTACTGTTTGCATCTCCTACCCCCAGGAAAATGGCACCTGGGACTGAACTGTGAGTCTTCCCGCGATCACTGCCACCACCCGCAGGCCCACGGGTTCCACAGCTTCCTTGGAATGCCCTTCACCACGATGGCCGACTGCGCTCGGTGGGAGCTGTCGGAGAAGCGCGTGGGCCTGGAGCGCTCCCTGGGCCTCTGGTTCCAGGTCCTGGCCGTGGCCTCGCTCACGCTCGCGGTGGGCCGCCTCACCCAGCTGACCAGCTCCTGGGTGCCCGCCATCGGGGCCGCCTTGGCTGCTGCTGCCCTCCTCACAGCCTCGCGCCTCGTGGGCCACCTGGTCGTGCACGCAGACTGCCTCCTGATGAGGAACCACACTGTCACGCAGCAGCCCCTGGACTTTGACAGGGCCACGCCCCTCCTTCTGCAGGAAGTCTCCTCCTTCCTGCAAAGGTGAGCCCAGGGGGGCCCGCGCCCTCCCAGCCCCTGACCACGGGCAATGTCCAGCACCTTCTTCTGTCATGTGTGTCTGAGGCCTGGCCCATCCCGGGCTCAGAAAGACCTTTCTTGGCGACATGGGACCCGGGAGATGCCCTGCCAAGCTGCGTACCTTGCACTATGTCCATAGAAACATGGTGGCCGTCCAGTTGGAATTTGCTGACTCAGGGCTCAGTTGACCCCCCCCCCCCCCCCAGTCCCCCAGGGAGTCTGTGGTGGGATCGCCTGGTGCAGCTCGGGGCTGGCGCTTGTAGTGAACTTGCAAATGAAACTGAGGGAGAAGGATGTGCTCCCTTTAGGGCTAAGACTTCTCCTTCACTTGGAGACTCCGAGCCATGAATAGGAGACCGTGTGAGCCTTCCCAGGGCAACAGGAGGGCCTTGAAGGTCCCATCCAAACTAATAACCTAGCGCGCCCCATTTTGCCTTTTTCTTGGTTCTTTTTAGTTATACATAACATTAGGATTCATTCTGACTTAATTTAAAAAGCATGGAACATACCCTGTCCTAATCCAGTTCTCAGTGCCACAGTCTGGCTGGGCACAATTCAGGAGCCACTTGTCAAGCAAAAACGAACTTTATTTTTAGAACACACACGCCACACCACACAGCTCCTCAGGAAAACCCTCAGAGCCCAACTGCCACCACCGGCTTCCCGCAAGCCTCTCAACCCCCCCCACTCCTCCTGCTCTTGAGGCGGATTGGCTGGGTCGTGTGGGCAGAGCCAAAGAAAGTGCCCCAATGAGCAGCTCCGGGGTCTGAAAGGGTGGGGGAAACAGCCCAAAGAGCATCACTGCAGAGGAGCCAATCAGCTGGCAGCTGGAAGTTTGCTGGGGCCCCTTCGGCTTTGGCGTTCAACATCTCAGTCCTTCCTTTTACCTTATAGCCTTTATTGGCTATTTACTTATGGTGATTTTTTTTTCTTTTAAATTAGCATCTAGTGGATGTGCATGACGGTGAGATCACTGTGGTTCGTTCATGGATGTACACAGTAAAATGAGGTTGGATTCATTCTAACCCCATCCTCCTCCCTCACCCTCAGGGCCCTTCCTGCACTCCATGGATCTCTCTTCTATTTTGATCATATTCCATCTTCTTTTCTTTTTCCTCCCCCTTATTTTTAATCTGGCTTCTGCATAGCACAGAAAACATTTGACCCTTGATTTTGTAGGTCTGGCTGATTCACTTAGCCTGATGCTCTCCAGTTCCATCCATTTACCTGCAAAGTCATTCTTCTTCCTAGCTATGTAATACTCCACTGCATATATTCACCATATTTTCTTTCTCGATTCATCCATGGGTGGACACCTCAGTTGATTCAGTAGCTTGGGTTTTGTGAATTGGCCTGCCATAAACATGAATGTGCCATGCCTCATTTTTAAAGCATGTTTTTTCATGATTACTTCCTATCGTAAATATTCATTATATAGCTGATTTCGTATTAACCAAATTCTACTGTTAGCTTGTGTGCATGTACAAATATGTAACAACAGAACCCACCATTATGTATAATTATACTGCATCAACAAAAAGGAGAAAGAACTCATGACCTGACAGCGTTTATAAAGAAAATTTCATGTACAATATCGCTTCTTCTATAACCCACGTTTATAAGCAGAGGCAGCTTCTGAATAACTTAACAAAATGCTTGTGCAGACAGATGGCAGTGTGACGTCCTTTATTCCTGGACTGTTAAGTATGTAGAGTTTGAAACTTACAGCATTCAGATGGAAAAGTGTGATGTGGACTTTTAAGTGTAGTTTAAAAGGCAAAATCATCACTAGATAAAGGCTTAAGTTTATTTTATTTTATTTTGTACTAGGGATTGAACCCAGAGGTCCTTCACCACTGAGCCCCAGTCCCCCAGCTCTATTGATTGATTGATTGATTGATTGATTATTTTGAGACAGGGTTTTGCTGAATTGCTCAGGGCGTCACTAAGTTGCTGAGGCTGTCCTCCATCTTGCAATCCTCCTGCCTCAACCTCCCCAGTTGCTGTGGTTACAGGCATGTGTCACCATGCCCGACCCTTTAAGATTCTTAAACATGAGATCCTCCTCCTGCCGAAGAGAAGTTTTGTGGGGACAAAAGCAAAGACCCTTGAAAACACCGTGGCAGGTTAGACCCGTGTTCAGGGTCCCCTGGCCTTCAGTATGGATTTTGTCACAATAACAAGGACAACCTTCCTCGCCTCTCATTCACTTTTAGGAATAAGCACGGGCCATTCCTCCTCTTCGTCTCCTTTCTGCACGTCCATGTTCCTCTCATCACCACCAAAGGCTTCCTAGGCAGGAGTCGTCACGGGTTATACGGGGACAACGTGGAGGAGATGGATTGGATGGTGGGTGAGTGTCCTCCCCCAGAGAAGACCCGGTGACAGATGCCCACGCCCTGGTCCTGCATGTAGACCAAATGATGCCCCAGAGATGCCCTTGGACCAATCCCACTGGGAGACAGGATAATGCCCCAGATCACCAATGCCCAGGCTGTCCCCATCATGCCCCCGCGGGCTCCCGTTAGACACGGACACTACCCACTGACTTGAGCAGCTTTTTCAAAAAATGCATGAGACAGCACACCCAGTAGCTGGCTCTGGGCGCGACTCTGTCGCCTGCAGCCCCAACGCTGTGCCCTCTGCAGGACACATCCTTGACACGTTAGACCAGGAAGGTTTGGCTGATCGGACCCTCGTCTACTTCACCTCGGACCACGGGGGATCCTTGGAGTCTCGCCTGGGAACCAACCAATATGGAGGCTGGAATGGAGTCTACAAGGGTGAGGCTCACAAAGCGCCCCAATCCGCTCTGGCCAATGGCCTCTCCCCAGCCCTTCCCAACCCTGGCATTGAAAAGGCACCACCTGCCCCCCAAATTTGCAAACACGGGTGCATATGGACTTGAATTTCTTTCCAGCCCAAAGCACCGTAGAAACTATAATTGCCATACTCAGATTTTTTTTTATTTTTTAATTTTTTTGCACACGTGGCTTTTGGGATATTGACAGAGCTCTGCGGCCATTACCACTGTAGAATTTCAAAATATTTTCATTGTCTTAGAAAAAAAAAAAAATCCCCGTGCTTTCAGCAGTCACTCCTTGATCCACCGGTGCCCGGCCTCCCCAACCACCAGCTCCTCTTCTCTCCCTCCATCTCTTCCTGCTCCAGATACAAGGTTCCCCGTGGTGTGGCCCTTGGTGGCGGGCTTCTTTGATGGAAGAACCATATTTTCAAAGTTGATCCTGTTGCACGATATGCCAGGGCTTGGTCCCTTTTTATAGAAATGATCTGCCCTCCAGTGGATCCTCCACACCAAGGGTACCGGGTTCAGATTTTAGGAGGGATGCATTCAAGGTGGTGGGTACCTGGCAGCCTCATTGTGTTCCATCCAGGGCTCCACGGATCGTGAGCATTATCTGAGGCATCCAGAAGAACACAGCTGGACAGTGCTGGCCTTTGACTTTTCCCATAGGAGCCTTAATTTATTATTTAATAAAAGAGTTGTTTAGAGGAGGGTTTCCTGGAGGTTGGGACTTGTCAAGTACGAACCTAAGACGAAAGGGGGGCACAGGATCAAGCCAGGCTCCAAATCTGTTTCCCTCTCTGCCGATGTTCCATCTCTGTCCCCTGGAGGGTCAGTGACCTGGCCCTTTCCAAACCCTTTGCTTCTGTCTTCCCCATTCTGCCAATTTCAACGGACCTGAGCAGACAAAGGTAGCTCCATCCTGCATCCACTCGGAGTCACCTGGGTCAACGCCTGCTGATCTCATATCACATCATTTTCTCTTCACAGGAGGCAAAGGCATGGGCGGCTGGGAAGGGGGCATCCGTGTCCCCGGAATCTTCCGGTGGCCCGGGGTGCTACCTGCTGGCCAAGTGATCCAGGAGCCCACCAGCCTAATGGACGTGTTCCCCACCGTGGTCCAGCTGGGGGGCGGCCAGGTGCCCCAGGACAGGTACAGAAGGGACCAAAGAAAGCAGTTCCACCTTGTGGACAGAAAATACATGTGTGTGGAGATGTATTTGCAGATCTCAAGTTGCACATTCAGTTGCATGAGATATACCTCTGTGTGTGTGTGGAGGTATATATGTGTATTCACAGCCATATCTGAATATATGCACCTACCTCATGCAATTTAATTACAGTGTTATGTGCAATGCAGTATACATAGTCTAATTGATATACTCAAATATATACCCTATCATGTATTTGCATATCTCCAATGACACATCCAATTGCAAGAGCTGTATAAGTATATGCATGAATTTATGCATATATTTCATGCAATTTAATCACATGTCCATGAATTTTAATATACTGCAGCAGAACCTAATTTATACACTAGAAACACCTAGCACATGTATTCATACAGCTCACATTTCAGATCCATTCATGATATATATGAAAATATGAATCAAAGCTGTACCATTTAATTATGTTCATACATTCTAATATATACACTAGAAATCTACTTCTAATATTTATTAGGAAAATGTGTGGACAACAATTTTAAAGGCTTCATGATGTTTTCTTTTAACAACCCCATTAGCCTTATTATTATTATTATTATTATTATTATTATTATTATTAAAGTGCTGTCATTGCTGGGCACAGTGGTACATGCCTGTAATCCCAGTGGCTCAGGAGGCTGAGGCAGGAGGATCACAAGCTGGAGGCCAGCCTCAGCAATTTAGCAAGGCTCTAGCAAATCAATGAGACCCTGCCTTGAAAATGAATAAATAAATAAAAAGGGCTGTGGTTGTGGCTCTGTGGTTAGGCACCCCTGTGTTCCATCCCTGGAGCCAAATTAAAAAAAAAAAAAATAAGTAAAATTGCATCTGTCCTGAATAACTATTTAGACAGCATTCACACCGTATTCAGCATTCTGAGGCATTTGCATTTGATTGAAAGTATGTAGGAGTCTGGACATGGGTTATTAGCAAATACTACACCATTTAAATGAGTGTCCTAGGTGTCCTCCGATTGCAGGACTGGGGTCCAGGGTGGTCCTGCGCTCTGTCCCCCCTGGAGGACAGTGATGGGCAGTGCACTATGCAAAGTTGTGACTGCCAATCAGAAGAGGTAGACGCAGCCTTTGGTGGCACAAGCCTGCAGACAAGGACCCTGGTACCCTAAGCCGACCTCCTCCCACACAGAACAGGGCGGGTGCGGTCAGATGAGCTGTATTTGCAGAGAGAGGAAGACAGGGCAGACAGATAAGGAGATGCCAGTCCCTGTGAGCATCCCCAAGAGCCAGGGCTGCCCGGCCTTGTTTAAGGACATGGCATGTTCCACGGGACTCAAGGTCGATGGCGTGTAAAATAGACAGGCCTTTCCTCAATGCTTGGCTTTGTTTTCCCCATTCAAGGCAAGTTGGGGGACACCAAATCCAACCAGGTGAGCGGGTTACATTGTATCCAAAGGTGCCACCCATCAAGACAAGCAACCTGCTTACATTGTATCCAAAGGTGCCACCCATCAAGACAAGCAACCTGCTTACATTGTATCCAAAGGTGCCACCCATCAAAGCAAGCAACCTGCTTACATTGTATCCAAAGGTGCCACCCATCAAGACAAGCAAGCTGGGTACATTGTATCTAAAAGTGATGCCAATCAAACCAACAAGCTGGTTACATTGTATCCAAGGCCATGTCCCCAGGCTTCCTGGGCCCCCCAGGCCCCCCAGCCCTTCCACACCTGCACAACTCTCCTTCTCTCCTGGGATATGCTCAGCAGGGCCCCTTGGCACCCCCTGGTGCTGAGTGTCATGTGCTTCCTGCAGAGTGATTGATGGCCGAGACCTGCTGCCCTTGCTCCTGGGGACCGCTCAGCACTCGGACCACGAGGTCCTGCTGCATTACTGCCAGAGGTTTCTGCACGCAGCCCGGTGGCAACAACGGGACCAGGACCGTGAGTACAAACAGGTCCCCTACAGACACACACACCCAGCACCCTGTGACGAGGCCTCTGGTGGCTCTACACAGTGCAAGATCGCTCCTGAGGTCACATTTACTCAGTGACACTTGACCACATTTTCACTGTCCCCTCCGCATGGCCATGTTCACCCTCTCTACCTCACCCACTTGCCAGCAGCAGAACGGATTCTTCTTTTAAAAAATCCAGTGCTTGACCAGGTGCAGGGGTGCATCTCTATAATCCCAGCCACTCAGGAGACTGAGGCAGGAGGATCGAAAGGTAAAGGCCAGCCTCAGCCTCTTAGTTAGAATCTGACTCAAAATTTAAAAAAAAATAAATGAAAGGGCTCGGGATGTGGCTCAGTGGTAAGGCACCCCTGGGTTCAATTGCCAGGACTAAATAACAACAACAACAACAACAATAATAATAATGTCAATCCAGGTCTCAGAATTTCGTAATCAGGTAATTGTCCCATTTAGCGATACTTGTTTTCTGCCCCCCCCCCCCATGTGTCTTTCCCTCTCTATCCCTTTGCCTTCCTGTCTCTTTGCTACTGTGGATTTGCTTTCTGGACCACAATTCAGTCACGTCCAACTCTTTTGCATCAAGAAAGCAAGCAATTCAGTTAAAAATATATATTGAAATAAAGCACATCATAAAACTGAATTCTTTCAAATGTTCAATTGAGGGGCAGTTGATGCATTCAGTGTAGTACAACACCACCCCAATCTAGTTCCTGAACATTTTCCTCACCCTAAAGGGAGCTCTCCTACTGAGTATTTACTCCTCCTCCTCAGACTCCCCAGCCACTGGGCCCACTGAACCATTCTTTTTTTCTGTGGATTTGCTCATTCTGCCCGTTTCATACAAAGAGTCCTGCACAGACTCTGCATCAGCTTTTTTTCCCCTGAGCATAGTGTTTTCCAGGTTCACATATGGTATAGCCAATGTCAGAGGTTCCTTCTTTTTCAGGGCTGTGTAATATTCCACAGAGTGGCTGCATTAAATTATATCTATTCGGGTCTTTTTTGGGAGAGACAGGTAACTATGGATAGAGCCCAGGGACATTCAACCCCTGGGCAATGTCTCCAGCCCTAGTTTGTATTTTATTTAGAGACAGGGTCTCTCTCTTAGTTGCTTAGGGCTTTGCTTGGGCTGAGGCTGGCTTTGAACTCTCGATCCTTCTGCCTCAGCCTCCTGAGCCACTGGGATCACAGGCATGGGCCACCTCACCTGGTGCTATTCACCTCTTGATGGACACATGGGGGAGTCCTGCTGTTGTCCTGACGTCATCTCTCTGTGATTCTCGTCCCTCCACCAGGAGCAACCCTGTGGAAAGTGCACTTTATGACGCCGATCTTCCAGCCAGAGGGTGCTGGAGCCTGCTACGGGAAAGTGGTCTGCCCCTGCATTGGGGAAGGAGTGGTCCAGCATGACCCGCCTTTGCTCTTTGACCTCTCCAGAGACCCCTCTGAGTCTCATGTCCTCACGCCCGACTCGGAGCCCCGGTTCCACCAAGTGGTGGGCAGAGTCCGGCAGGCCGTGGAGGAGCATCAGCGGTCACTGGGCACTGTTCCCCAGCAGCTGGGCACCCTGCACAACCTGTGGCGGCCGTGGCTGCAGCCCTGCTGTGGCCCCTTCCCCCTGTGCTCGTGCGACACAGAGGACCAAGGGCAGTGACCATCTACATGGGAAGAGCCAGAGCCCGGTCCAAACAGCTCCTCACGCTGACATCAGGCATCCGTTGGGTGGTCACCAGTGACTCCCCACATCAACATGAAGTCACAATGCACAATCCAACTGACTGAAATGCACCCTCCGGGGCCACTCTGGGCTCCCAGCAAAGAGCCCAGGACCTCCTGCAATTAGAGGCTGGGACAGAGGACCCAATCTAGCCCAGAGGAGGCCACTATGCAAACAAAAGGTGCTTCCAAATTGCACAGACTTCAGGTGCAGAGGGGGGAAGCCCCGAGGAACAAACCTGATTCAATAAGACATGGCATGTGCCGAGGGATCAAGTCTCTGCTTATCGCTCTCAGTAGCAAGGAAAGCTCCACCCTCAGGACCCCCCTCTCCTCCCCAAAGCCCTTTCTTCCGAACAGCATCACCTGGGGGGGGGTAAAGATTTCCATATAAGACTTTTGGGGGGACACCCACACTCAGGTCATTGCACTGGTCAGAGGGCTCGTGGTCACTGTATTAGTCTCCCTGGGCTGCTGTAACAAGACACCCCAGCCCTGGGGATTAGAGACCCCCAGACCCTAACTGCTCATGGATGACCTCAGGCCACCACCCAAGCCAACTCCTCCTCTGCCTAATGGCCAAAGCCATCTCCAGCCCAGTGGATCTTGAAAAAGGAAAGAGATGGCAGCTGGCCATCGCTAGGAGCCCTGCTTCTTTCTCACCACCCATGCTGTGTGGAACAGAAAGCCAGCTCATTGGGCCAGCTGTGTCCCCAGTCACCAGCCCACCTTGACACCTCTGAGTTCTTCAGCATCCTCTGGGCTGGGTCACCTTCTTCAGACCCAGCCACACCCTTGACTCTGTTGACTTTGAGGCCCAAGTCCTCACAGAGGCTCCAAGTTCTTAACCCATTAAGTGCCAAGCTTTCAATTCTGCAAAGGTATCAAGAAAATTATTATTTTAACTGTTATTATTTTATTTTGAGTCAGACTCTAAGTTGCTTAGGGCCTTGCTAAGTTGCTGAGGCTGACCCCCAAGTTGCAATCCTCTTGCCTCAGCCTCCTGAGTCACTAGAATTATCAGTGTGCACCACTACAGCTGACTTCAACATGACTATTGACATCGTGCATTAAAATAGGCAGAAAATCATAATGTAAAACTTATGTTTTATTGCATTTTGATATGACATCTCTGCTCCCAGGACCCAAGGTCTCCTTAATAAACACAGTCTTGTCTGCCGCGGTGGTGCACGCCTGCAATCCCAGCTGCTTGGGAGGCTGAGGCAGGAGGACCATGAGTGCAAAGTCAGCCTCAGCCATGGTGAGGCCCTAAGAACTATGTGAAGCCCTGTCTGTAAATACAATAGAAAATAGGATGGGGGTCGTGGCTCAGTGGTGGAGTGCCCTTGAGTTGGGTCCTCTGAGGAAGCATGAGAAGGCTGTGCTACAGCATCTTTACTAAAATTAGGCAAAATGTTTCAAAACCAAAAATGTAGTGACAGATAACAGCTGTGGGGGGTGGAAACATGAGGTTAAGGAGTTACTGAAAGCTCCATCATTGTCCCCAGTGCCCATCCAATAATGAGGACACAGCTTTGGTGGGGGCAGAGTATATTGCTTTGTTAGCAAAGGAGAGGCACAGGAGCTATTGTCCCAGAGGCCACGATTCTGCCCATCAGCAGGAACAGGGGGCTTTTTTTTTTTTGGAGGGGTGGGGTGAAAAACCAGCCTCTACCTCAGAGCAAAGCCTGTCCAAGGAAGGGACATGAACTTTGTCCTCGGAAGGACCCACAGAGCACTCCTAGGCACATGCCCCCCTGCTGAGTTGTTTATCTACAAATAACAGGAGAGATCTGCTGGACCACGTGTCCCTGACTCAGTCAGGCTAGGTGGGGACCCAGAGCAACCCCCTAGCAGCCACCAATCAGCAGGAGACAGGGAAATACCTGGGATGCCAGATGACCCTCCCAGCAGTTTATGGTGTTGGGAAACCATGTAGTTCAGCACGTACACCCATCTTGGCTTAAACCAATCAGTTCAAACGAATCCCCCTCTTGAGCTCACCAATCACCCCTCCCCAACTTGTTCCTGCCAGTGGATGTGCTAATCATGTTTTAGGGTTGTTTTATGATTTTCCCGCGGTGTGTGATGATTTGCTGAGAGATGCTATGATGCATGTGAAGTCCCTGCCTTCCCCAAAGAGTGTATAAAACTGCTGCCAACCCTGGGCTCGGGGCCTCTCGGCGTCACCAGTTGCTGTGTGCATGGAGGACCGAGCTAGCTCGCAATAAACACCTCTTTGCTGCTTACTTCGATCTTGGTCTCTGGTGGTCTTTTGGGGGTCCCGAATTTGAGCATAACACTGGGGAACCAGGGATTGAACTCAGGGACACTCAACCACTGAGCCCCCTCCAGAGCCCTATTTTGCATTTTATTTAGAGACAGGGTCTCCCTGAGCTGCTCAGGGCCTCGTCTTTAAATGGGCTGGAACAGAGCTGCTGGGCGGGGAGTTCCCTGGAGGATGGAGCTCCCACAGCATGTGACATTGAAGGTACCCCGGGAGCCACGGAGAGAAGTGCAATTCCTCCCGAGACCCGGGGCATGGGGAGGCACTGCACCTGGCCTGGGGCTCCTGAGCAGAATGGGACCTGGGTGTGCCCAGGGCTTGATGGAGAGGGTCTAGCACTCACGGGCATGGGTGAGGCCCTGGGTTAGACTCCCAGCAGCACATGTAAATAAATAAAGGTTCATTGACGACTAAAAAAAAAAAAAAAAGTCTCACTTTTTTGCAGACAGTCTCACTTCCTGCAGGCCCAGCTGGATCGGGAAACCACAGCTAAGGCCGGTATGTTTAGTGTGTATGTAGGTGTAGGTATATAGATGGACAAATGGACAGACAGACACACTGATATGTTAATGAGTGGATGGATGGCTGAATGGGTTGGTGGATGAGGGCATGCATGCGTGGATGCATGGGTGGACAGAAGGTTGGATGGGTGGATGGATGAGTCAATGGATGGATGGATGGGTGCATGCAGGGGTGGATGGTGGATGGGTGGATGGGTGGATGGGTAGATGACTGTATAGATTGGTGGATGGGTAGATGGGTGGATGGGTGGATGGATGGATAGATGGATTGGTAATGGGTAGATGGGTGAATGAGTTGGAGGTGGATGCATGAATGGGTGAAAAAGGATGGGTGAGTGGGTGGAAGGATGAATGGACTGATGGGAAGATGTAAGTATGTCTGAATGGATGGCTGGATGAATGGGTAGATGGGTGGGCAAATACACAAATCCATGATGCATGGGAGAGAAAATGGGCAGATGGGTGGAAGCAGGGATGGCTGGTACATAGACAGATGGATAGATATATAGACAGATGCATGCTGATGGATTTGCGGTAAAATTCTTGTGACTTGCTAACCCTGAGAATACAGGGCTTAAAACAGAGTACAATTTTACAAGGCTTTATGAAATCATATACACAGTTTAGGCAAAATAAGAAAACTCCCCACACTTTCTAAGATCCTCTGGCCTCCATAAGCCCCTATTTTGGCCCTATCTCCCCCACACCCCACAAAGACATGCTTTTTGCCCTAGTCCCCAGTCATACAGGGGATCAGGGTTTCTGTGAACACAGGATATGCAAGTGTCTTTTGGACTCACTGCTTTCAAATCCTTTGGGTCTGAACCCAGCGGTGGCATTGCTGGCTCGTATTGTGATTCAGTCTTAAGCTTTTGAGGGGTCACCATATTGTTCTTCCAAGGGCCACCTGGAGCCCAGGAGCTGGACAGGCAGGAGGAGCCTCCCTGGAGCCTGTGGAGGGAGCTGGACACCATTGTAAGACGCAGGTCCTGTCCACACCTTGACCCCAGAACCTGTGAGTGGGACCTTGTATGGAAACAGGCTCTCTGCAGAGGTCGTTAGTGAAGGGTCTGAGATGGGCTCCCCCTGGGTCAGGGGGCCCTCATGTAATGGCCGTGTCCTCCCAAGAGACAGAAGAGGGGACACAGACACAGAGGGAAAGCCATGTGGAGATGGAGGCAGAGACTAAAGTGATGGGGCCACCAGCCAAGGGCCATCTGGAGCGCCAGGAGCTGGGAGAGGCAGGAAGATACCTTCCTGGATCCTTGCAGCCGTGTGACCCCTGGTCTCAGCCCTCTGCCCTCCAGGGATGGGGGAGGGGGTGGTGGTCATAGATTGCTTTTGATTGAAGTCTCTTTGTTTAAGTCTCTTATTACAGCAGCCCCAGGAAACCCCTCACAAACTCAGCCCGGCCTCAAGTTGTTTGACAGGGCTAAGACCCTGTTTTTACTCTTGGAAAAGAATCGTGTTTGGTGCTGAGTTCCGCAGCACTAAGAAATTTCATTTGCACTGGTGGATTTTAAGTGAATCATTCCACTAACTGCACACATAGCACCACCCCACCACCCAAACCACACTGTTCCCCCGTGTATGGTTCCCATAGCAACCGATATCCCTGATGTCCAGAACATCTGCCAAGAGCAGATGGCTTGGAGTGTTGGAAAAACTTTCAGTTCACAACTACTAGGTACGAGCAGCTCAGAGTGCTAGGAAAACCTACGATCGATCGATTGATGGATCGTACAGGCCTGACAGGAACACCTGTAGGACGGGGCACTCTGCTCTAGCGAGTGTGAAACACAGCCTCAGCACTTGTGGTCAGCGTTGTCAAGCTACCAGACTACCAGGCCGAAAAACCAAGAGTCAAATGTTTCAGGGCATGTAACCCCCCAAGTCATAGCCCGCCTCCCTTAGGGACAAAGACCCTTTCCAGGCTGCCTTCCCTCACGGCAGCAATATTCAGTGCTTCCTCATAGTGCGGTTACAGTAGGCGGAAGATGACTGGCTTATAGATGTTAAGGTGCTTATGTCTGACTGGCAGACACGCCCCACTCGAACCCTGTAATAGTCGTGTGCATTCCAACAATAAACCGAGCTACTGGAAGGTGGTCTGAGGTGGGTCTCCAGCCAGTTCTCTCACCACTTCCCGGAGTCTGTGTGTTGATTCCGTGTCTCTCCGCCCTGCGAAAAGGTAGCCTAGTGACCATGGACCACGAAGAGACATAGGAACACATAGGTTGGAGGTGTTCGGGGATTTGGGCTCACAGGTCTGCAGAGGCATACAAAAAGAAGAGGACAAGCAGCGTGCAGTCCCTGCAGGGAAAAACAAAAGGCAGGAAATAAATGGATTTGGCGTGCAAAGTAGAAGCTGCAGAGCAGTTTCCTAAAGTAAGCTGTGAACAGCACGCACATCTAGCCGGCAGAGGTCTGGGGAGGGCTTGATCCTGGCATCCAGCCAGGGGAAAGCAAGGAGGCTACCCAACTCCTGTGATGCCTGCTGAGCCCTGAGAGAATTATCCAGCGGTGGGAAGCCTCTGGTTTGGCACGGGGTCCAACAGCCCAAAGCAAACCAGGGAGTTACCAGCAGTTACTGCCACACAATCAAGATGAACTGTGAGAGGCCCATTTCCTCTTTGCACCCAAATTGGAGATTCCCAGCAACCAACCCGATCCTGAGCCCTCGAAATAAGAAAGTTCCCTCCACTTTAACCCCATGAAAACAGCGCAGAGGTCCCCTGCTTATCCTCCCGGGACACATTGCTAAACTCTCAGAGGAGGTAGAAAGTTCAGCTAGTACCTAACTCTATATAGACGATACTTTTCCAGTATATATAGATGCCTGTCATAACGTATGAGTCAAATCATAATAAAACACAACATTTATTACAATGTGCTGTGACAAATGCCCGACTTACAAGTTCTTCACTTCTGGTTTTTTTTTTTTTTTCCATTTATTTTTGGACATCGGGGAACTGAATCCTGGGAGATTTGTGACCACTGAGTGCATTTGTGGAGACCTTTTGTCGCTACTGCAGGCCTCACCAAAAACACCCCGGTGACCCTTCGGTCTCTTTAAGTTTGTTTTGTCACCAGACCTGTCTGCGCTCCTCCCTTGTTAAGGTCTTTTGAGCTCAACTCTCAGTAAAGCGCGGGCGAACTTGGGGTTCAGAGCCCGGGGCCTGCGTTTAGGGTCCTCAGTGGGTCAGGAGGCGGCTGATGGTTGGCAGGCGCCTTGGCCCACAGTGCGCGGAGCCAAGGCTGCGCTAAGGGGCAGGCAGGCCGCAGGGAGGACCGGACCAGCAGGGACACTAGGATTTTAAACCACAGACGGGGGATTCACAGCAACCCCAGAGACCAGGGCAGCAGGCAGAGAGTCCCTGAGCGTCTGAACAGGGGGCCAGGCGCCCCACCGCCCCAGCGGCTACCAGGAGGGTACCAGAGCGGGTCCTGGGATCCACCCGCTCCAGGACCAGAGGGACTGGCTGTCCCAGACGCGCTGGGGGTGGGGCAACCGGGGAGGGCGGGCGGGCGGACGTCACTGTGTGTGTGTGTGTGGGGGGGGGGGGGGACGGGGACCAAGCCCTCCTGGGGGAGGGTAGCCAGAAGGAAGGGGCGGGGGCTGCCGTAGATCGTGTGGGCGGGGAGAGTAGACGAGGCGCCGTGGGGGTGGGGGAACCTGAGGCTCGTCTCACTGCTGGAGGGAGGGGGGGGCGCCCTGGGCGACTTGGAGGACCCGCGTGACCTAGCCATGGTGGGGGGCGGGGATGGGGGAAAGTCAAGGGTCCGCAGTCCCTGTTTTTCAGTAGAGGGTCCAGAGGGGGCGAGGGGGCACAGGTACCCTGGGGCGGGATGGGGGACTTAGGGATCTCAGAGCAGGACGGGGCGTGGCCTAGAGTGAGGGGCCCTAGACTTGCTGATGGGCCCAGGAGAGAACTGGGGAGTGACTTAGGAGGGAAAGGGGCGGCGCTGGGGTCCAGTGGCGGCCCCAGTGTTGGAAGGAGGGGTCAGTGCTGGGGGGAGGGGAGAGAGGCCCGGGAGCGGGACAGCAGTGGCTTAGACTGTTCCTGGGGGCTCCCCAGCAGCATCAGGGAGGGGGCGCGGCCGTGCGGGGGGTGGGGGTGGGGGGCTCCAGGTGGGCCCGGGTGGGGACCAGGTGCTTTTCAGGTAGTGAGCTGACGAGAGGGCCATATGGGGGGGAGGGGACTGGATAGGAGTCTCAGCGGGAGTGACGGCCATGGTGGGGGAGGGGCAAGATTGTGTTTTACTGAGTGTGTGTGACAGGCTGTGGCTGGGGAGGGAACCCAAGCCCGTGGCGGGGGAGACAGACCCGGACGGGACACAGAGGGCTTCGGTTTCACCGGGGAGACACTGGCATGGGGCTTCGGTTTCACCGGGGAGACACTGGCATGGGGCTGCGTGTCTTAAAAAGTGCGTGCGTGGC